TAGGTGGCGGTATGCACCTATGCAAGTTGGTTGCGATCCGCCAATGGAATTTAAAGAAGAAGAAGTCCCTCCATGTACAGCTTCTTATCACTGTCTACTGCCAACGTACATTTATAACAAATACCACACATATTACGGTAATCAGCGTTGCATATGTGTCTGACCACAATACCTTTTGTTCTTCAGTCTGTGTTCATCCTGCATCGCTCTGTTCTGTTCTTTAATGTAACGTTACTGGAGCGACAGAGCCTCTCCCAGCTGTTAGCGAGCTTTACCCAGCATGCAGTTCGGCGGAGACATTTTATAAATGTACAATTATTAGAGCTACAAATTGTTTGTGTCACAAACTGTTGTGTCGTGGTGTTTTGTTGTTAAAGAGCGTTAGTTGTGGGTTGTTAATTGTTGTTATAAAGTTATAACCATGACTAGGGTTCCCTCTCAATACAGCTAAGACAACTAGCTCCGACCGCAACGCTCTCAGCCGCGAACAATATATTTTGCTACCTGTTGAGGAGCGATACCAGTTGTTTTCGGCTGTGCACCGGTATGACGGTGTATGAAAATTTCTTATCGTACGGGAATTTAAAACCGGTATACCGCCCAGCCCTAGTCTGTAGCCTGCGGGTCTGTAGCGGGTCACAGACCTTAAAGACGGTTGTTCTCTGATACTTTGAAACCAGGTCTAAACTAAACAGTAAACCAGCTCTTCTGGTTTTAGTTTAGTTTTTCTGACTTTGTTTCCTTGATGGTTCGCTCTGACACTTTGATAAAAACATATTTGAATGTTGAGGATTAAATATGGAGAAATGAAGCGGCCCTGGTTCTAGTGACGCTGGTCCTCAGATAGTGAAAGGTGAACTACAGACGGTGATTCATCAGCTGGTCGACTGACAGAAAACCAACATGAAGATATTCTGATAATCATGAAAAATATCATTTAAACTGAACGTTTGGGTTTTAAAGATGTCACTCTGGAACATTGCGAAATACTTTATTATAGAAAAACAATCTGCACATTATTACGCAGTACGAATGATAATTGCAGCGGTAAATGACTTAAATAAATACTTGTAATACTTATAATACCATTGTTTCCTACAGATAGACTTCACTATTAACTACTAGTTGTTAGTATTTATTCAACCAGCAGGACGGTGAGGTCACGTGTCTCTAGCTCAACGGCCTCGTTTGATTGGCTCAGAGGGTTAACGAGGATTATCAGTGTGAAGCTGCAGGAGAGTGTCAACTCGTTAAAGATGGATGCTGGAGGACAGACGGACAGACTAGCTTTCAGTGTGCAGCTGATTCAGAGTGTATTTATTCACCTGTGATGTTTGTGTTGTTTGTTGCTCTGATGTTGACCTGCTGATATTTGCTCGTTAACCAATCCCAGCTCAGAAACAAACAAAGAACCATCTGTTTGATTATTTTTGGTTTTGTTTACATTTGACTGTCAGCTGACCACAGAGACGGTGTTATACAACCAGGAAGTAACAGACTTTATGGGACGTCCTGCTATAAGTGAGACGTTCACTGACGTGGACGTTTTCTTTAAAAAGCTTCATGTGTTAAAGCTGCATTCTCTCTAGTGTCCACCAGGGGGCGACTCCTCTGGTTGTATAGAAGTCTATGAGAAAATGACTCTACTTCTCTCTTGATTTATTCCCTCAGTAAACATTGTAAACATGAGTTTATGGTCTCAATCTCTAGTTTCAAGTCTTCTTCAATACAGCATGATGTTCATTTAGTACATTATGGTCCATTTAGAGTCAAACAGACCATAAAGCAGGGGATGCTTTAGGGCGGGGCTACACAGTGATTGACAGGTCTCTAACAGACCATAAAGCAGAGTGGTGACGTCCAAAACACTGAACTAGAGACTTCATAACGTCACAAACTAATGAGAGACTTCTACTTCTTTACTGACAGCTGTAGATACTAAATCTGACACATCTGACCTGATTCAGAAATATTAAGTTTATGAGCTGAAGTGATCTAATCCACCGTAACAGAGTGAGGCTTCTTCCTTTGGTCAGGCAGTCAAATATAAATCTGGCATCTTTAGTATGATCACCTTTTTAATATCTGGAGGTTCAGTTTGAGTATTTTATAGCAAATTAGGACAGAAAACTCATATTCTCAGAAGATATTTTGTGTTTTCCTGAATACAGCGTGAGGTGTTACAGACAGAGAAGACATGAACTCTTCACTTTACATCTTTTTATGAGGACACATTGAGGAGCTTCAGAGAGGGAAATGAGATCACTACAAACACACACACACACACACACATGGCCCATTGGTCTAGTTTAGAGACTCTGAAACCAAACCAGGTCACACATTGAGCTGGAGTTCTGAACTGGTTCATCACCAGAAGAAGAAGAAACCAGTCACTGGAGACCAAGTGACATAGAGTCCTGTCAATCACTGTGTAGCCCTGCCCTAAAGCATCCCCTGCTTTATGGTCTGTGTGACTCTAAATGGACCATAATGTACTAAATGAACATCATGCTGTATTGAAGAAGACTTGAAACTAGAGATTGAGACCATAAACTCATGTTTACAATGTTTACTGAGTTAATAAATCAAGAGAGAAGTAGAGTCATTTTCTCATAGACTTCTATACAACCAGAGGAGTCGCCCCCTGGTGGACACTAGAGAGAATGCAGCATTAACACATGAAGCACTGACTTCACTTTAAAGAACCGGAGGTTGTTTCCGGGTTCAGATACATATTGATTTAATATTCATGTAGATATGAGGATCTTGTCTCTCTGTAAGTCTCTGGTGTTATTACGAGTTCTGGTATTTCCTCCTCTGTCTTCAGGTCGAGTCTCAACATGTTTGAACTCTCATGACGTCTCCAGAGTCACTGATGGAGTCAGAATAACACACGTCTGGTTTATATATATATAATCTATAGAGTTCATATATTCAGAGAAAACATTTCACATTTAAGAACCTGGAACCAGGAAATATTTTATTTTATGTCTGTCTTTATTATTTTATTTCCAGTCAGTGATAACACAGACACAGGTGCCACCTTTTAAATGCACTTTTAGCCTTATTGTCTTATTATAATTAGAAACATTAAAATGACGGTTAACAACAGAGAATGTCTAAGATTGTCTCATTATAAAAAGCTGTGTAAACAATAGTCCGCTATGTGTGTCCCCCGGTAGCGGTCCCGTACCCCCCCGGTACCCGTCTGTCTGTAAAGGACCTGTATGTGGACGGGAGGCCCAGCGTGGAGGTCCTGAAGGCTCACCTGGTGAAGGAGGGTCGTGTGGAGGAGGAGACGGCTCTGAGGATCATCAACGACGGAGCAGCCATCCTACGCCAGGAGAAGTGTATGCTGGAGGTGGAGGCGCCCATCACAGGTAAACACGCGCCCGTCACGGGTCAAATATATAACTTTTATTGTTTCAAAATCATTTTAATAATATACAATTGTTGAGTTTTCTGTTTTAAATCACAGTAAAGTAAATATAATATATACACACTGAGACATTTAGATATGTCATATTTCACTGTTTTCTGATATTTTGTACAATAAATGGACATTTTTATAACTTTTCCAACAAAAACAATTCTAAAATCCAATAATTACATCTTCTAAAATGTTTTCTTTGTCTCTTCTGTTTAAAAAGTGAATATTTTCTGATTTTGGTCGCACAAAACAAGACATTTAAATATTTCATATACGACAGTGAGCTGCTGTAAATACCTGGGTGTTCAGTAGGAACCAATGTCCTCAGGAAGACACGGTGTTGACAGACGGACCAACATGCTGTTGAGCTTTAACCTTACAAACGTGTGTGTGTGTGTGTGTGTGTGTGTGTGTGTGTGTGTGTGTGTGTGTGTGTGTGTGTGTGTGTGTGTGTGTGCGTGCGCCCGTCCGTCCGTCCGTCCGTCCGTCCAGTGTGTGGAGACGTCCACGGACAGTTCTTCGACCTGATGAAGCTGTTCGAGGTCGGAGGATCACCCAGCAGCACCAGATACCTGTTCCTGGGGGACTACGTAGACCGAGGATACTTCAGCATCGAGGTAGAGACACACACACGGACAGAGAGACACGGACAGAGAGACACGGACAGAGAGACACGGGCGGACACGGGGACACACGCGGACAGGGACAGGGACACAGAGACACAGAGACGCACACACATCTCTGACATTTGGAGTGGCGGCCTGCTGCTCGGGCTTTAAATAGTGGAAGGTAATGAAAGACACACACTCAGTAGGTCTGATAACTCCGCTGGACACGCCGTCATTATAGTCAGATTCTCATCTTTCCGACAGTCCTTGAACACATCACATGTGACGAATGCTTCAGTCAGAAAAAACAACAGAAACGAAGCTTAAAATCGTGATATTTCATCAAAACATTTTATTCTTCATGTTCTCATATAAATGTGTCCTCTAATAAAGAGTTCACTTTAACCAGAGTGTGTTAAACATTGAAGTGTGAAACTATGATGTCATGATGGATTAATCTGAGACCAACAGTCATGTGACAACAAGGAGGAGACACTTAAGGAGAGGTTGTAAAATATAAATAGTTGAATATATTTATAGCATGTGGAGCCTACATGTTGTTCTAACATTGGTAACTCTTCAAACGTGTTGGATATTTAAATTCCATTTCTTCACTTTATAGTAAAGAGCTCCTTCTCATGCATCGACTCCTCATGCTGAGTCCCGTGGACCAGTCTGTCACACACATACGTGTAGACATGTCTGTATGTCCTAAACCGTTCATGTGATATTGCTGTTATATCCGTTAAATGAAAGAGTCTCCACTTCATCCACACATTCACTGCTTCATCTCAAATCCATTACAGTCGTGTAAAGAAGAGACATTAGGAAAGTCCAGTCACAGTCCAAATACTTCAACTGAGTCAACACAAATGAAAGGAAGAAGCTGAGATTGTTCCTTTGTCATTAAAATCACTGATCAATCAAAAGGGTTAAATCAGCAGGATTACTGGATATTTACCTTTTACGTGGTTACTGTGTGTGTGTGTGTGTGTGTGTGTGTGTGTCTCTACAGTGTGTTACTGCATCATATTTACGTGTGTGTGTGTGTCTCTACAGTGTGTTCTGTTCCTGTGGGTGCTGAAGATCAACCATCCCAACACCCTCTTCCTCCTCAGAGGGAACCACGAGTGCCGGCATCTCACAGAGTACTTCACCTTCAAACAGGAGTGTAAGTCCTCGACCCTCACACCTCCTAAACAAACCCCTGTACGTGTACGTGTGTGTGTGTGTGTGTGTGTGTGTAACATGTGTGTGTCCTGCAGGTAAAATCAAGTACTCAGAGAGGGTCTATGACGCCTGTATGGATGCGTTCGACTGCCTGCCTCTGGCTGCTCTCCTCAACCAGCAGTTCCTCTGTGTTCACGGAGGCCTGAGCCCCGAAGTCACCTGTCTGGATGACATCCGGAAGGTAAACCGCTAACACCAAGCATACTCCTGTTTATATTCTACATGAAGGTCGTTATACGATGTAGAATAATGCTGCCGTCTCTGTCAGAGAAAAGTCGACTGCTAAAGTAGTAAAGTATACAATATTTCCCTCTGAGATGAAGCTCGGCTGTTTAAAACATATTTAAAAGGCTGTAAATGTAAAGAGTTTATGCAGTAAGAGCTGAGATGAATCCATTAGTTTACTGACAAACGATAAATAAAATAGATGAAAGTTTTCCTTCATTCTCTTATTTAACAAACACTGTAAAGCTGCAGATGAATCCATAATTAAAAAAGTCACATTTTCAAATCCTGGTTCGGATATAATAATTGTATATGTAATCATTAGAGCCAAAAAAGCTGGAGAAGGTGAGTAATATTCAGATAAACAGTATTTCTGAGATTAAACTGGTAAATTTACACAAAAAAACACAGATAAATAGATAAATAATGGAGTCTAAACCCTGTGTTGGGTCTCTGGTCTCTAATCTGTCTCTCTGTGTCTCCAATCTGTCTCTCTGTGTCTCCAATCTGTCTCTCTGTGTCTCCAATCTGTCTCTCTGTGTCTCCAATCTGTCTCTCTGTGTCTCTAATCTGTCTCTCTGTGTCTCCAATCTGTCTCTCTGTGTCTCTAATCTGTCTCTCTGTGTCTCTAATCTGTCTCTCTGTGTCTCTAATCTGTCTCTCTGTGTCTCCAATCTGTATCTGCGACTCCAATCTGTCTCTCTGGTCTCTAATCTGTCTCTCTGGTCTCTAATCTGTCTCTCTGGTCTCTAATCTGTCTCTCTGGTCTCTAATCTGTCTCTAATCTGTCTC